ATTTTAGTTTTTAACAAACTTTTTTTTTGCCTTTAGTTATCGTTACGCATTACTATTACAGACGTATATAAAACAGAAAAAAATTTATTTTAATTTTTCTACTTTCGTGGTACTTGCTCTTTTTGAATAGCCGTTGCAATTTTTTTTTTCTTTTTAGCTATGTTATCAGTGCTCTGGCTAGTGGGTTGGAGGGCTCCCTCCCTCCCCCCTCCTCTAAAACTAGCTTTTTGGGCCATCCAAAATTTTAAAATTAAAAAAAATACCTAAGTACTAGCAAAAAAAAGTTCGTTAAGTTTGCAAAAGAGTCCGTAAATTTTCAAGTGGGCCCCCTAAAGTTGCTAGGATCCCCATTGTTGGGGAGTCTAGCCACGGCTCTGTATAATATCGATAATAAACTATATTATAAAAATTAAGACCTTTTTTTTTTTTTTTGGTTTGTTTGTTTGTTTGTTAATTTACTTCCTCAAGGCCGAGAAGGTCTCTACAGACGAGGAGGCTACTTATTTGTGGTTATATAACCCTCTCTCAACTCTATAACTCCGAAACACGAACCTTGACGAAAAAGGCCGCTGCGCGAAGAAACGAGTTGAGCGCGGTACTACCAGGGACGAGGCGGGGATTGAACTCGCAATCTCTTGCTTATGAAGCGAGCGCTCTACCACTACACCACTACCGCATAAGACTTGTTCATAAGTTAGAATAGTCAAAAAACAAGTTTATTTGTTTCCTGAAATTTTTTCTTAGGCATGTTTGACTAACTATACCTAACATAGATAAAGATAAAACCTCGTCATTACAAACATTTCATAGAGCATCTTTATATAAGCTAAAATAGTATATTGTATAATATAAAACTTACATTAAGAGATAAATAAATTGAAAAAATAGAAATAACTGAAAAATTACCCTTAAAATCCATTCAAACAAAAATAAACGAATTAAAAAAAGAAAAAGAAAAAGTTTTATTTGAAAACTAAATGAACTTGAAGACTTTTCCATACAATTTTTCTCTTTTTGAGAGATGTTCCATATGTATACGATAACGACAGCAGTTTAGCCACGATGATCGCTAACAAAATGAGCTAGCAAGAATTCGTAACTACAATGACAGCAATTTAGTCACAAAGATTGCTAGATAAATAAACCCATCGATTAACTAGCAAAAATTATCTTATGTGTGTATTTACTTTTTGAAATTTATTTGTAGCAAAATTTGCAATAATTTTGTTTTAGCGCAGAGTTTTTGCGAGATCCTGCTCAACAACTATAATTAGGAAACTGGTCAGTCCGGTCTTGAGTAATTGTAGATCTTAGCGTTGTCTTGACCTGAATATTTGTCTTAAGCTGAATAAGTGCAAACTTCAGTTTCAAAAACAGTTTCGAAAATTGGCATAAGCGCGAACTAACATAAGTGCGCCAAAATAATTTGCAAATATATAATTCAGTCGTCTTGACTAAACGTCTTGGTTACTATACGACCGTTCTTCTTTTGCGATAAAAGCGCAAATTGTATTTAAAATGCGTAGTAAAAAACATATTGATTTGAATAGAAACTGTAGAGTTTTCTTATAGATCCAATTTAAGTAATGAATTTTTTTGAGCCAAATAAATTGGCTCGCTTAAGAATATCCAGATGACGAACCTCTTCAATAAATTTCTCTTGAAACAAATTTGCGCCTAAACTACGCATTCCTCCACCAGGTGATTCAACTTCTTCAATCGACTTGTTTGTTAACTTTCTGCAGCATGAAACATGTCTCTTATTTATTGAATTTGAGTATCGGTTAATAATACGTTCACCTCAAACTGAAACTCTTCATTATTGGGGAAATAAACTTTGTGCTTGGCTTTTTTGTGAAAGGTTTTTGTCTACTTTGTTCTCTTTCGAACCAGTCTGAATAAAAGTTATAATTTTTTGACAGGAACCAGTCAAATATGCTTCATAAGTGATTTAACTTTGGGCTTAGAAGAGTTATGCCTAATGAGATCCTCTATAAGTTTTTGGATCTTATCAGTCATATCTTTATAAACTTCACCTCATCAACTACAAAAATTTTTTTCGATTAAAGTGAGATACCAAAACGTTGTCATGATGACAAATTTAAATGACTGAACACATTTTTCCAGAGATTTTACTTTATTTAATCGAGCAGCAGTTACATCAAGGTCACGACGCTACTGCAAAGATGTAAAGATATTTTTAGGTTGCTTAAATAACGAATTCACAATCTTAATGTGTTCACTCTATCGGGTTTACAAGGTTTGATGTATAGACATACCATTCCACGACTTTTCATCGAATAGGGCTCCCACTAAAAGATTGTAAAGTAACTAAACCTTACCAATTTAGTTCTTCACTTCAATAAAAGATTCAGGAGAACGAACACCGGCAAAGTTAATATAAGATAAAACAAAAGTGTTTTGTTCAGTCAACGAGAATAGCATAGTAAATGGCCGAATAAGTCTTTTAATAATTGCTTTGTTTTAATAAAAGAGGCTTACATTATCGTCGTAAGTATAAAATTCTATACTTACTATTAATAGATAAAAAGTGAAGATTAATACAATTTGTTCAAGGGTTTTTGCTCATCGAGTTTTAAGTGCGAATACGGGTTTGTATGCTGTTAAACTGTGTACAGTTTTGAATCTAATATTAAGTATCAAAAGAGAGGGGTGTATGCCCTCCATTCCCGTCCCCCTTAGATCCGTCACTGGCCGGAGCTTGCATTGAAATTTAGACCTCACGGTTCAGAAGTAGGGTTGTTGATGGGTCGATTATTAACGGGTATAATTAAAGTAGTTTTTTCTCAGCTTTAAAATGATAAAAATACTTAATAAATAAAGTATAACTACCATAATTTTTAAGTATTTTTGTCATAAAAAGTCTAATAATGAGGCAGAATCTAATAGATTATTTTTCTGGGACAGCACAATCAATATATGCCGCGTTGTGTCTTCTTTATAAAATTTATTTTTATAAAAAAAAAACGAGAAACATTTTTTTTCCGATTATTCAAGTACTCCAAGATGACCTAACGGTCTTGTTACAGAGTACTGCCGAAACTTGCTGCTTGTTAATTTACTGTTTAAGAAGAAAAATGCTTGCCAGGCTACAGTGAGCAGATCAAATGAAACAGTTATTAGTTTTTACAGTTTAACTTATTTTATCTGGTTCTGAAAATAGCTTAGCTGAGGATGGTGAAAATGTGGAAACTAGGGAAACTAGGGACGAGTTAGGAAACTGTTAGAGGCATTACATTCCATACAATAAAAAGAATGAGAGTGAGAAAAACTGTCGTTATTCCAGAACTAGATCTAGAACTATTCGATCTAGAACAAAAGCTCTAGATCTAGAACAGTCAGGCTGCAAGGTCGATTTTGTTATAGCAAAAACTGCCAAAAAGAAAGAAAAGAACATTGATCAACTTGCTTTAAACAGACTCAATTCTCCGACACAGAGTGGAACACCTAGTTAATAGATCTGCAGACATAAATGACGAGTTTTTGATTAACGTTTTTTTTGTTGTTTACTGAAATGGAAAGCTGATTGGAAGAGAAAAGAGAAAGTCGATTACCTGCAAGTATTGGTTTTAGGGAAAATAGTTTCTCAGCTACTCCTATGAACCAGGGATTAGAGCTGATAGTGTGGCAAGTCTAGTAGAAGACACAAGGTAAGCCATCATCAATTATGCCAACAAGCATCGTAAACATAGTCGGCCGAAAAATGATTATATATAATTTTTGGAACTTGTAATTATCTTTCATAGTGCTACTCCTGCCACAAGAGTGCGATTCATGCCACCCGGAGCAACCCACCATGCCTGATGGATTTCCAAAGTTTTATACAGCCTCAGGATCTGGATGCTCAAGACTCAGTTCAAACTAGCGTCCGTAAAAGAGCAAGGGTTACGCGATGTGTTTCTTCGCAGTATGGGTTTACCTGAACGCCTGGATATACGTACTTTAAACTGCAGGTGTTCTTTACCTGCTGAAGTCACTAATTGAATACTCATCAATCCACTTAGCCATCTCGAATTTAACATAACGCAAGTTTTCCAATTACTTGTAGTACTTGTCACAAAAACTTGTTAGCTTTTTTCGAACGCCGAGTCAACTCGTCAACTTTGAGTCTGATGGTGAGTGCCATGCTGAGAAAGTAAATCCAAATCAGGATCATTTCAAGCAAATTACTGCTGTTATTGATTCATTCAAAGTTTTGTCAATTACATTGTTTCGAATGATGGAACTTCCAGACGGATTTCATATGGTTGATCCGGAATCGTGGGAGGACGGCATAAATAGTCAAATCTCTAAAAGTTGCTAATGACTACAAAAAACGTTGAGAAGCAATCATTCAGGAATACAGTGGATTAATCACCCGAGATGAAACGTAGCATCAATTCCTGCTGCAAGTTTTCAATAATGTACCCTGATAGCAGGAAACAGATTATATTTAGCTGACGTTAACACAATAAATTTTGAGTTTGCTGGACTTGTCAGACTGATGTAATGAAAACTGTCAGGAATCGAACAAATAATTCACTATTAATGTGTTCAAAAATAAATGCTGTTGTTGAAATTATATTAAAATATACTCATAATTCTTATTTTTCGTAAACTTTGAGGCATTGGAGCTACCCCGAAGCAGAACTTATTGCTCAACCTAGTTATAGAGTTTTTATATATTATAAGGAACAGATTAGAGGGCAAGACATTAAAAAAAAAAAAAATGAAAAATCATTTTCAAAGCTTCACCTTAAAAACATATATATTACAGGCTGAAGATGATAATTAGATTAAAAGTAACATTAATAGTGAAGATGAAATTAACATTAATTTTGAATAGAAGATGAAAATTAGATTAATTTAACATAACTAAAACAAATCTTTATGACGCTTTCTTTTCTTTTAACTAAATTTTTTAAAATTTTACATAAAAAAATTATTTCATTATCTAAACTACTTTTATAATTTTTTTAAATATATGAATAAATTAGAATTTGTCTTACATTTATTTTTCATAAAATAAAAGTAAACAAAAAAGTTTTTTCGTTTATGTATCTATAATTACTAGTTTTACAAACTATAAATATAAGACAGATTAAAAGAGCAAAAAAAAAAAAAAAAAAAAAATTAAAACAATTTAATCACAAACTTTAATCGCATCACCTCTTCTTTAATCGTCTTTAAATCACGTATATGGCGTCGGAAGTCTTTAAATCACGTGGAAAGTCTTTAAATCACGTGGAAAGTATTCATGAAGCATTTGAGCTGAGAAAAGAACATTTAGCAGATTGACCCTAAAATCATCGTTATTAGTTAAATGTAAAGATAGATCATTATTATATATACTTGTGGCCATTGGTCAATTTATGATTTATGCAAATATGACATTTTGCAGGAGAAGAGTTAGAAAATTTGATTTATTGACATAAATTTAATATATAATATACAACTATAACACAATTATACATATATAAATAAAGCAATCATATTTTGACCAAATGAAAGATCCAATTTTGCACTAATCATTAATCGACCAATGGCCACAGATATATATATATATATATATATATATATATATATATATATATATATATATATATATATATATGTGTGTGTGTGTGTACAGGGCCGGCGCGAGTAGGTGTCACGTGGTGGTGGTGGGTGGTGGTGCCCCATTACAACTTTATATACCGACTATAATTGTAAATTACCGACTAGCCTGTATTGAAAGGGTCGACATTTGCGGACTAAAAATTATTGATGGGGGGGGGGGGAGGGATCACCCCCCGCACTGCCCTATCGCGCAGGCCTATTATGTGTGTGTATATATATATATATATATATATATATATATATATATATATATATATATATACATATATATATATATATATATATATATATATATATATATATATATATATATATATATATATATATATATATATATATATATATATATATATATATACACATATATATATATATATATACATATATATATATATATATATATATATATATATATATATATATATATATATATATATATATATATATATATATATATATATATATATATATATATATATATATATACACACACACACAGAGGCGATTCTACGAATAAAATGAGAGAGGTGGAGGGTGAATCCTTAAAAAGTACCGCATCTGTATATATATATATATATATATATATATATATATATATATATATATATATATATATATATATATATATATATATATATATATATATATATATATATATATATATATATATAGTAAAATAAAACTACGTGGTTTTCACAACTTTAAGTTTCATGCTGTTGCAACCATCAGGTGAAATACAAATATAGTTTTACTTATGTTTACTTTTTTTATATGAAAAACTAATAATTTTACTTTATAAAAATGCTAAAGAACTACTTAATAAAAAAATAGAGTTAATTTCCAAATGTCGTCACGAAAATAAATTTCATAATGTTATCAATCTTTACTAAATTTTTCTAAGGTTTGTAAAGCATTAGTAAGTACAAAAAAGAAAATGAAGTATTATAAAATAAATAAAGTAAAAATAATATTTTTATTTATTTTTAATATTTATACAGGGTTTAGATTTAGTTGTTATTTTTTTATATATACTAGATTTAAATTTATATAGACTTAATACTAGATTGTTATGTTAAAATGATTTATTTTTAACCTTTAAATTTTCTCAACCTTCTATTCTTCTTTGTTTTGATCCCTCATGAAGTAGTTGACTAAAGGCTTAAAAGACTGTAGATTGTATAATTTAGGAAAACATAAAGACGAAAGAAAATTCCAGAGCAATGATGTGCAAAGAAAAAAGCTAGAAGAATAAAAGTTTTTAAAGAAAGAACAGATGCAGCAAAAAGATGCTTTTACTGAGAATGAGTCATATGAGATTGAGTTTTGATTCGTAGAACAAGAGATCTAAGCTTATTTATCAACAAAACGACGGTAGAAAAAAGAAAGATATTTAAACTTACAAAAATGAGACAGAGGCTCATGCTCGGCAGCTTGAGCATGTTTTACAACATTTACAAAACGTTTTTGAATCTTTTTGTCTAGAACTGCATTGTTATAAGAACCAACTCAAATTTGACAACAGTGTTTATTACAAGGATAAAATGTTTATAGAGGAAGAGACTGAAGTCAGGAGGAAGAAAATGGTGGGCATAACAGTGGATAACTGCTGGTGAATTTTAATCCATATAAATCTCAGTTGTTTACTGACACTAATTATCAATTACCTTACCTTAGAAGATGCTAACTTTTGGATTGTATATGAGGTCTTCATAAAAAGGCAATACTAAAAGATAATCTGAGATGCAAAGTAGAAGACTCAGTAAGAGTGTTATTATTAATAAGGTTTATAATAAATAACTGGAGTATACAGTTGTGTTTGTTAGCAAATAAGGGTACATTAGATGTTTAATTGTCAGTAAGATTATTATTATAAAAAAAATACAGAACCAGGATGAAAACTTGTAGCATCTGAGAAGTTAGTAGCTTCAGGGTGTTTCAGGTACTCGTCAACTTGTAGCACCTGAGAAGTTACTAGCTTCAGGGTGTTTCAGGTACTCGTCAACTTTTTGCATCTGAGAAGTTACTAGCTTCAGGGTGTTTCAGGTACTCGTCAAACTAGTCATCATAAGTATCTTGACTTTCTTACTTACAAGTTAACAACATGTATATTGGGGTAAGTCAAAAAATAAGATTTAAAAAAAATATAGGCAATCTTAACATTTTCTAAATGATAAAATAACACTGGATTTTTTTGAAATAAAAAGGGGTATCTCAAGATCCTTGAACACTTAATCGATCTGTATTATTAATTTAAAAAAATTTCAAAAGTATGTATTGTTTTCCTTTTTATATATATACACCCTAATTTTTATATGTAAAAAAGTCATTTTTTAACTTGTTAAAAAATTCTAGTTTTAACTATTGTAATATAGTTATAAACAAAGAAACATATTAAGTAAACAGAGCATGTTGAATATGAATTAGTAAGTAACCTTGACAACAGTAAGTAACCTTGACAACATAGGTACATAACCTTTACATCATGGGTAAGTAACCTCAACAGCATAGGTAACACTGTAAATCAAGTCAAAATAAAAAAGATACTGAAACTCCTGCTAAAAAACAAAGTTGGTACCCATTTTATCAAATATGTTGATGAATAGCAATAAGGAGAATGCTAGTAGCACCAAAACATCATTTTTTTTTTCACTCTAGAACAAAAGACGATGTGATCTTCTGAGTAAATAAATAAGTACTTTGAGTACAACGTGTCATTTTAAAAGATTTTAGAATGGAAAATTTTTTAAGATGTTTTTTTTTTTAAGATGAGCTAATCAAAGAAATCTGGCTTTATAACTGTTTGTATATTGTAATTTGTATTTTGCTTACACAATCTAAACATTTGCAGTGAATTTATTGCCTAAAATAAACATTCACAACAAATTTAGTTCCTAAAATAACACATATAACAATATGTATATAAAACATATATATAATAACATTTATATAATAACATGTATAAAACATATATTTAACAACTTATAGCAAATAATTATATAAGAAGCAAATAATTATATAAGAAGCAAATAATTAATATAAAGCAATAATTAAGATAAATTAAGGAAACAACAAGTATAAGTAAAAAAATTTAATTTATGCAAAGTATGCATTTAAAACTGTTCAGCAAGAAAAAATTATTTTTTTTTTACGCAAATTCTTTAAATGTTTAATTCAAAGCGGTGAGTTGAAAAATTACTAGTATTTCTAAATAAGTTTACAAACACCTAAATAAACACAGAATATTCAGTCCAAAAATAATGTTAATATCCTGTCCCAAATAATGTTGACATCCAGTTCCAAATAATGTTAATATCCAGTCCCAAATATTGTTAATATTAAGTCCCAAATAATGAAAACTAAACTTATCCTAGAAACAAAATAAGCTTTTTTATTATGACAAATTTACTGTTAATTAACTGAATATTGATAATTATATAAGTTATATTTAATGAAAATAAACTTTTTTTCAATTAAAAAGTAGAACTAGATCAGTAGACCTTTAAAAAAATGTAATCCTTACCAATAAAAATTTACGAAGACATTTTATTTATTTAAAAATTGTTTAATCCTTTTATATTAATGCCTTATGTCACACTATTTTTTTAATATACAAGTTTATAAAAATTATTTATTATTTTACAATAACTTTCTCCTGAAACATTACAGTCATTACTACATTACTACAGCCAGTGCTGTAGTAGAGCTGTTGTTATTATTTTATTTAATAAAAATCAGTATTAAATTATTATATCATTAATTAATAAATAATGTAAAAAAAATTGATCCTAATAAAAATCAGTGTTAAATTATTAAATCATTCATTTATAAATAATGTAAAAAAAAAAATTAAATTTTATTAGAAAAAAAATAGAGCATGAGAATATGCCATTCCATGCTTTTCAAAAATGCAAAACTTTTGAAAAATGTGGAACTTACCATACTTTGTTGAGCACATGAAACATTGTAAGATGTGCGACTCAAAAGTGGATTTTCAAACTTTATGTCTGAAAACTTTGAAGAGTAAAATACAACTGACAAACGACGTTTGAAACTAGTCCAAATCTGTAAATTTAAAATTAAGTATAAATAAGTAAATAACGCTAAAAGTTAAATCAAAACTGGGCTAGAAACCTTAATAAGTAGATTTAAATTTAAACTCGAAAAGCTGCAGGTGACTGATAACTGAATTAGAGTATTGCTTAAGTTGACTAATTATTAAAAAAATGAAAATGAAAATTTCAAGTAAAGTTCATAAATATTTTTGAATAGTATTTGACAGAAAACTTCCAAATCGTTTTTTAAAATTTAAATACAGCTGACGCAAAAAAAAAACAAAAAAAAACAAACAACACAAACAAACAACAACAACAAAAAAACCATGTAAAAAATATAAATTTGTAAAATAAAAAAATGCAATAAAATCATTTTTCTTATTATTTATTTTCCATTTTTACAACATAGTTAATAGTCATCTGTCTCTTGTTATGTACAATTTCATTACCAGACGATACTTGATGATGATGGATACTTCTTCAGTCTTATAATTATATATAATTATATATAATTCCAATGGTTCTAAATTTTAGGGTTGAATTCTAGAGAGTTCCTAGGCGAGTCAAATACATGAAAGTTATTAAAAGCACTTTCAATAACTTGTTTCATTTATAGCATGGGATATTATCATTTAAAAAATGTTTAGAGACAGTGCTGCATATTTTGAACAGAGAGGTGTCTAGAGATATCAGAATGATCTTTCTTAACTGCTTTTGCATATAAATCTATGGTGATAACAATACAAGATGCAGTAGAAACCTGTATCTTTGCTGGTCTTTCCTTTGATGCCCAGCTAGTTTTTTTGTTGTTGGTAAGAATAGTGTTTGAAGCCAGGTTTTCAGAGTTGAGTTAAATAAAATGACTGCAAAGGAATATTTAAACTAAGTCCAATCTTCTTGGTTCCAACCCCTCATCAAACAGGGTCAGTATTCCTGCATCGTTTCCCATTTGTTTGCCAATTTTTTTTTTGTAAACTGCTTTTTTTCCATAAATATGTTTTTTCTTTAAAATGTAATTGTACACTGAATATAGTTTTGTTACAGAGAATTTTTGACCAAAAATAAGTAACTAGTTCTTGATATATAAGAAAACACATAAAAATGGTTACAAAGAATTTTGTATTAATAATTGTATTTACAAAATACTTATAAATAAATTTTTGAATAAATATTTTTTGCAAATTGCAGCATTATTTGTGCCAGCTGTAAACAACTTTACAAAATACAGAGGCTTTAGATTTTTTTGATATTCTTACAAGACAAAATACACCTCCCCCACAATGATGTTTATGCTTCAAAAAAGTACACACGCAAATTAAGTTTTTCTAGCTAGGTATGGTTATAGTGTACTAGGTATGATTATAGTGTACTAGATATGATTATGTTTCCCAAAATTTGAAAAAAGTTTCCTGGAAAAAAATGGTGCCTATTGTGAAAAAAAAAAGTTTCTTTCATTAACATATACAGAAAAACAACTGGTTTAGAATGATGTTTGTAGAAGAATGTAAGGCATATAATAGTAACTAATGAATTTTGTAGAAGAAAGAAGTTTGTAGAAGAATGAAGTTTGTAGAAGAATGTAAGGCATAGAATAGTAACTAATAAGACAACTCTTTAATAAATACCATTATTTAAAATAAAATTTATATTTCATATCAATAAATCAATTCTTTCAAATCAATAAAAATCCTTTTAATCAATCCTTTCAAAATCAATAAAAAATATTTTAGTTTAAACATTCTGTTAGCTGACTGAACATAATATATTCCTCAGATTCTCTCTGCGTTGTATGAAAGTACAACACGTAATAGATCGTTTTTGTATGTTTCTTAATGGAAATCACTTGGAAGTTTGTATCTGGAAAACTCAACGAATCTCTAGTGAATAGTTTCTCTAGCCTGTTTGCTGTCATTCCCAGTTCATATCCATTATTTTCTACAAAACTAATTTACATGGCAAAATAATATATGCAGTTTGGTAATCTTTGTTTTGATCTCCAAAGTAATAAAAGTAAGAAAAAAATCATTTATCGCTTTTTCAAAATCCATACTGAGTATCTTGCTAAAACACCTGTAAGCCACAGTATTAAATGCATTAAAGGCATCACAAAATCCCCTAAGATCTTTCAAAAGAGCATTTCTAAGCTTATTTGTTAATCTCATCACTGGTTTCCTTCAAACTCTCCACCGTAAAGCTTTTGTCTGACAAGGGAATTCCTTTCTAGGAAGATTTTCGAATTTTCTTGTATCCATCTTGCTGATAGGTTATTCCATAATAGATTAATTGTTTCTGTATAGAGATGAAGTTCGGGTATATTGCATACTTCCATAACTTCAGTTTCATCATCTCAAATCAGCGCAAATTTTAACCAGAATATTTTTAAAGTCAATACTTTTAAAAAAGACTTGAAAATTTTCATTATTCTCTTGAGTATTTGGGATATTTCTAAGAATAATTTGGGATATTTCTAAGAGTAATTTGGGATATTTCTAAGAGTAATGTCTGATCAACAGGTGAGGTGTTTCTTTTTTCAGGTTTGGACAAACGCCCTCAGAATAGTTTGATCAAGTCACACAATTTAAGTATGTATATATATACATATATATATATATATATATATATATATATATATATATATATATATATATATATATATATATATATATATATATATATATATATATGCATGGCTTACTTTATACACAGCCGGATATGTTGCATAAATAGGCTGAAAATTAGAAGACCAGTTTTTCAATATTACAAGTTTTCGGGACTTAAGTTTAAATAGGTTTAAATATAATTAAATTGCTAGGTTTTTTAATTCAAGTTTATAAATATATTATTGTTATTATTTTAATTAAATAGATTTATATAGTAAAATATGTTTTTGTATTAGTTTTTCCTTATTTAAAAACTTTTAGGTTGATTTTATTAATAACATCTAGTTTTTTTTTTAAATTTGTTTATTTGATTTTCGTAGTTCACTTCAAATAATTTTTAACAACTTAATATTTTAAATATAAAATTAGAACTTTGACTATTTTTATACGCATTTTTTTACCGCAGAGATTTCAAGTAAAAATTAAAAAATACTAATAGCAATATATATATATATATATATATAATATAATATATATAAGAAAGGAAAAAATATATAGTTTATGTGTGTATATATATACATATATGTGTGTGTATATATATATATATATATATATATATATATATATATATATATATATATATATATATATATATATATATATATATATATATATATATATATATATAATATAATATATATAAAAAAGGAAAAAATATATAGTTTATGTGTGTATATATATACATATATGTGTGTGTATATATATTTATATATATATATATATATATATATATATATATATATATATATATGTAATAAATATAAATGTATATATATATATATATATATATATATATATATATATATATATATATATATATATATATATATATGTATATATATCTATCTCAATATATATATATATATATATATATATATATATATATATATATATATATATATATATATATATTCACACAAACTACATTTCTTTTTTTTTCTTTTTCCTTTGTCTTCTTTTAAAAGATAATACAGCATCTTTGCGCTTTCCATTACTTCTTTTGTTCATTATTATAAAAAATATTTATTACTGTCTGATTTACGAGAGAAAGCCCCTTATTTAAATGATCTTCACAAATAAAGGTTCAAGTTATATTCATATAAAATATATTCAGTAACTTTTCTGATGTCAAGAATTTCTATTGTAAGTAAACTTTTTTTTACTGCATCAAGCATAGCAAAGCAAATAATAACATGATTTGCAAGCAATTTTGAGGGAATTATGAGACCTCCTCTGGATAGTAGTTCAATATATTCTGTATTTAAATCAATGAGATCACTTTTTAGCAATAAAGAACATAATTCACATTTAACTTTTTTTGATTAATTTTTCTGCATATATATCCAGCAATAATAATAACTTCTTTATAATAACAATAATAGTAACTTCTTTACTGTTATCATCTAAATCACATTCCTAAATATCATTAATAAAAAGTTTAGAAATCAAATTTATATTTACAACCGACTTGAAAGTTTTTAAATCCATTTTCTAAAAGTCAAAATTTTTTTTTGATAATGATCTCATTTGCAAAATTTTTTCAGAAGTTATTACTTCACGTAATCTAACAAGAAATCTGCCACCACTCATTTGACCATATGAAAAATGTCACTCTAATGGATCACTTTGAAAATGAGAGGTTAGAACATAATTATATTCTTCAAATAGAAGATCTTCAATTAAACTAGAAGTACTTTGCAGTGATACATAGTGATATTTGCATTGCATTGCAGTGATTTAGTAGTCTGATCTGTAAGAGAATATCTTTTGGTGGAACTGTATTGCGAATTTCGCCACTGATGAATCCAGTGAGCAAATGCACGTAAAAATTGTGGTTTACCGTCCCCCATAACAGATGCATTTCCAAACTTATGATTAGAGTATTTCATTTTAGAATTAGATATTACCCACCATAAATTAACAAGTTTTAAAAATTCTGATGCTGAAAATTCATTAGAAAAATAACTTTGAATTGCTGCAGATGTTGTTTCATGGAATATATTTAATGCTAGGTTGACATCTTGTTTATTGTTCCTTCATTTAATAACAGTTAATGATTTTATTGAATCGATTCCACCAGAAACTAACTTCTTTAGTAGTGACATTGATGGCAATGGGAGTTGTTTCAAAAAAAGGGAATAAGCCTGTAATGATGAATATCTTTGCATAAGTGCAAAACCTAATACTTGTGAATAATATGGAGGACGACCTTTGGATTTGTAGAAAATTAAATTTGATAGTTCATTAACTAAACCATACGAGTTCTCTTCAACAAGGTTGTGCATATAAGACACCAAATTAAAATCAATAAACTTGTAAGTATACAATTGTTAATTGTTCTAAACCCTTT